AAAGAAATAATAAAAGTAGGAGTATTAAAGACGGCGGCAGACTGAGTGGAAGCTACACTGACACTCTCCCAGGACTAAACTGGAAATTGAATTAAAATATAAAAAAAGCATCCTGAATAATCAACTGCAACTGAAGACAAGCTAGAGAGTACCCTCATAAACAAGGAGGAAAAGTGGAGACCAAATAGAGACCAGCAGGAAGTGTTCAGGCCCAGGAGGGATGGTTGGGTTTCCACAGGCAGTAGCTGAAGCTCCGGGGGGTTATCTCAGCTGTGGGGGGGTTTCCATTGAGGACTCTGTGGCCTAAACCCTGGGTTGGGCTTCCCAGCCAAGAGCATTCAAAACTCAGAAAGGTACCCCCATAACATCTGGCTGTGAAAAGCAGCAGGGTTTCTGTCTGCCAGAGAGAGGCAGCTGGAACTGCAGGCACCCTCTTAAGGAGCCAACGCACAAAGTTTCCTGTGCAGCCACGCACCTTGGGCTCCAGCAAAGGGAGGGCAAAGTAGACTGGAGCTGTGTGAGAATCTAGGATGATGGGCTCTGAAGACAGAGTTCAGAGGGCACCCCTCTGGATTCTTATGCTAAGTAATTCCCCCTTACTGCAGAGGATATCATTCATAGGCAGACATTTACTTTCCAAGCAGATTTTGCCTGAGGGGGAAGGAATTGCCCCACCCTGCTGGAAAACCTCTTCCCTATCCAATGGAGTTTCTACAGCCTGAGGCTCATTAAGAGAACCAGATTAATCAGCCTACAGGCAGAGGCAGACCTCTGCATGCTTTGAGTCTTTGCCTGATCTGCTATTGGACCTGGGCCTTGGAAAAGCCCAGGTGTGTATCTTGGTCCTGTTTAAATGCACCCACCCCCAACAGAGGGGATCTCAAGCCATGGGGTGTTGATAGCTCTAAATAGGGTACTCAAGGCCAGTCACAAACAGCATCTGACATTGGCCTGCACCAGAGACCTTCCAAAAAGATTGACAGTCCTAGTAGGCCTACCTAATACATAGAAACAAACCCAAATAAACAGCTAGAATAGGGAGATAAAAAAATAAGCCCCAAATGAAAGAACAAGAGAAGTATCCAGAAAAAGAGCTAAATGAAATGTAAATAAGCAATCTCTCAGATATAGAGTTCAGAATACTGATTGTAAGGATGCTCAACAGCATGAAAAAAGATAAGGAAACTATGAAAAATGACCAGTAGCGAAATGAAGAATGACATAGCAGAAATAAAGAATACATTGGAAGGCATGAACAGCAGATTAGAGGGACCTGAGGATCAGATCAGTGAATTAGAAAACAGGGTAGAAAAAAATCACTCAATCAGAAACCCAAAAGGAAGAAACAGGAGGACAGTCTAAGGGAGCTGTGGGACAACATGAAACATAATGATATTTGCATCACAGGAGTACCAGAAGAAGTCAAAAGTAAGCAAGCAAGGATTGGAGAATCTGTTTGAAGAAATAATGGCAGAAAACGTCCCTAACCTGGTCAAGGAAAAAGTCACACAAGTTCAGGAGGCACAGAGAATCCCAAGCAAGAAGAATCCAAAGAGGCTCACACCCAGACATATCATATAATACGTAGCATTTTCTGATTGGCCTCTTTCACTTAATAATGTACATTTAAGGCTCATCCATGTCCTAAAGAAAAATCTTAACATATTTTTTCCAACATAGACATTGTTGGGAATAATAGAGGACCAGGTGGTGAAATATGATATCAGATATCTTTCACTAGTGACCTGTTACTTAATACTTCCCGAATGTGAAGGCTGTCTTGAGAAGTGGAACAATTCCTTATAAAAAATCTTAAAATATTAAAAATTATATTAACAAAAATTCAGCTTTGCTAAATATGTGATACATATACATGTAATTTGGGAAGCTTTTTATTTAATTTTGCTTGTTTTAACTGAAAAATAGAGAGAAAATGACCATGAAAGTCTAAAGCTACAAAAATTGAGATGGAGTGAATTGGTTGTCTACATCAGTCAATTGCAAAACATTAGGTCTCATGCAATACCTGAAGTTCAAATTTAAAGAACACTCTTTAAAGAATCTATACATCATAAAGCAGTTTCTATAATCCTCTATTACTAAAACAAAGACAACCATAAAAAACACACAGCTGCCAGAATTATATTTGAATAAGCAACTACAACCAAAACAATTCTATATATGAAAACATTAGACAAAAGAATGATAAAAGTATATGGTTAGTCTTTCCTAGAACCCATAGTATTTAACTGTCACAAGTAGCTGACATAGTGGAAAGTACTTTGTTTTATTTTAATTTTTCAATTACAGTTTATATTCAACATTATTTTTATTAGTTTCAGGTGTACAGCATAGTGGTTAGACAATCATATACTTTACACAGTGGCCCTCCTGATATTTCAAGTGTCTACCTTCACCGTAGATAGTTATTACAATATTATTGACTATATTCCTTACACTGTACTTTACATGCCTGTGACTATTTTGTGACTACCAATTTTTACTTATTAATCCCTTCACCTTTTCACCCAGCCCCCCAACCCCTCCCCTCTGGCAACCATCTAATCTCTGCCTCTATAAGTCAGTTTCTATCTTGTTTGTTCATTTATTTTCTCTTACATTCCATTTATAAATGAAATTGTATGGTATTTGTCTTCCTCTGTCTAACTTATTTTACTTGGCATAATATTCTCTAGGTCCATTCATGCTGTCACAAATGGTAACATTTCATTCTTTTTTATGCCTATTATTCCATCGTATATATGTACCACAGCTTTTATGGAACACAGTATGGAGGTTCCTCAGAAAATTAAAAATGGAACTGCCTTATGAAGAAGGGATAACACTTTTAGGTATATACCTGAAGAAACCCAAAGCACTAACTCAGAAGTATTTTGTTTTAAGTCAAAACCATCATACAGTGAAATAACATTGTTTTAAGTTCAGATAACTCAGGCCACAAACTAAAGCAAATCCTTGGAAGTGATTCTATGCCCCTTATTCTCCAAAACTTGACACCCCTTTTTAGCAATTGCCTAATATAAATCATATTAGCATCTAGCACAAATTTTACTGTCTTATAATTAAAACTGTACTTCCTGACTCATCTTTTATTACAATTAGAAAGGTAAATATTTGACAATAACCCTATGATTATGTGTAGGTGTTTCTGTTGTTTACAGATGTACACATACATACACATGCACATACTTTTTTCATTCCTCCAGTGGTGTGAGACATGGTATTTCCTTGTTAATTTATTAATACTGATATACACCTTCTTAACTGCCTTCCGTATTTCCTTGCAATATAATCTTTTATAAACTAGTAACATAAATATTACTATGCCTTTTAGTCCATATGATCTATATATAAAGCTCTAGATGATTTTAATAGCTTACATTTCATTATACTCAATATTAACAGTAAGTAAATTTAAAAAACTAAAATTTTAGTTCACCTCTCATCTTTTTACTCATGAGATTACTGTTACATTACTACTATCTGCAGAGAGAGTTGCTTTTTACATAGATACTTCAAAGGAGAGTCTTGGACAAACCTATTTTAAATCCCTCTGCTGGTTCCTATCTGAGAAAAATCCACGTATGAACCAGTCTCTTGGGAGGGGGGGAATCAAAGTTGATTCTGTCCACAATTAAATAAGAAAAGAATGTGCTTTCCTTATTTCCCACTTCTTCGAGTCTGCACAATACATGGCTGACCTAACATCAGGGACACTGATTCATAAATTCTTATTCTGCTACTTGTTAGTTTTATGATCTAGTATAAATCACAAACTCTCCAGGTCTCAGTAGACTTTTCTATACAAAGAAGGTATTAAAAATACTATACCTAAGGTTCCTTCCAGCTTAAAATAAACTATAATTCTATGAAAATATCTACAGAAATAAATATTATAACAACATAAACTAGATCTTGTAAAATGAGGAGCTAGTATATAGTCCTTGCATAGAATAACCTAATAGTTATGCATTCTTTAAAACTAGTTAGGAATTTCCAAAATAAGTTAGATATTTTCCTTTTTGAAAGCCAGCAAATAGATTTTCCTTGTAGTTAAATATTTCCATGTTACGTCTCCTTTCTACCCTAAAGTTGAATACAATCTTATTTAGCTTGTTCTTTCATTTTTTGTTGAATTTCCTTTAAGTATAGTTGGCATACAATAGTATATTAGTTTCAGGTGTACAATATAGTGACTCAACATTTATATACCTTACAATGTGATCACCTCACTGAATCTAATAATCATCTGTCACAGTGCAAATTTATTACAATATTATTGACTGTATTTCCCTTCACTTTTTTCACCCATATCCCTACCCACTCCCCTCTGGCAACCATCAGTTTGATCTTTGTTTCTATGAGTCAGTTTTTGTTTTGCTTTGTTTTGTTATTTTAGAGTCCACAGATGGAGTTAAAATTTAATTCAGAGGATTATATATTTTAGTAACCTAGTTATTCATATATTGGCAAGTAAAAATTTCACCCATTGTACTTAAAATGGGTGAATTTCATGGCAGCATGTAAATTATAGCTCAATAAAGTTGTTTTAAAAATTCATGTATAGCTCTGGCTGGTGTGGCTCAGTTGGTTGGGTGTCATCCTATACACCGAAAGGTGGAGGGTTCAATTCCTGGTCAAGGCACATGCCCAGGTTTAAGGCTCAATCCCCGGTAGGTGGCATGCAGATGGCAGCCAATTGATGTTTCTCTTTCACATCGATGTTTCTCTCTCTCCCTTCCTCTTCTTTCCTCTCTCTCTTAAAAAAAAAAATCAATAAAAAATTTATGTATAAGAGTTTCTGACAAGAAAATATGTCTTATATTTTGACCTGCTATTGTTTTACTAATAATTGGATTTGCTTATTATTAATATACCTGAATAAACTTCTTTAATTGACAAAATATTTTCTCCTTTACCATTATTCTCCTTCTTTTTATTCTAAAAATGTAGCTTAATAAGTTAACGTGAATACTTACTTGGCAAGAATCTGCTTCTCCTTCTTCCATTGGCTCATCATCCATTTTAAGATGATTTACCTGAAAAATATTGTTCAAAAACTGAAGTTCAAGAGTAATAGAACAAGGGGAATAACTAAAAAAAATAGAACCCTAGGCATTTCCCTTCACAATCAAACAAAATCCACACTTACTGAAACATAAAAGAACAAAGGACACATAGAAGGTACTTAGAAAAGGACCATTATTAATATAATTTCCAGATTGTCCTTGAGAATCCCTGAATTCCAGTGCTATATATTTCATTTCATATTGTTTAGAGCTTTGCTATGATGAATGAACATAAACTAAACGTATGACATGTATACTTTCAGTAGGACTGTCCCCAACCAAATATTTATAAGACAAGGGAAAAAATGCCACAGAAGAAATCTATGGTGGGAATATATTCAAAGCAAGTTAGGATGGAAAGATTTTTATATAATTACACTGTTGTGAATCCTTTTCCTTTCATTCAGTTCTATTAAATTTTGAGTTAATTGCCAGCCTAGCTCAGTATTTGAGCATTGACCTATATGATCCAGGAGATCGAGGTTCAATTCCCAATCAGGGCACATGTCCAGGTTGGAGGCTCAATCCCCCGTAGGGGGTGTGCAGGAGGCAGTCGATCAATGACTCTCTCGTCATTGATGTTTCTATCTCTCTCCCTCTCCCTTTCTCTCTCTGAAATCAATAAAGATATATTTTTTAAATTTTTTTGAGTTACTCTATAGAAGAATAAACTGTCAGAGAAAAATGTAAGTGATCATAGGAAAAAAATGATCTCAACATAAAAGCTCATTAGATAATAATATTTACTCTTCAAGCACTACTTCAAGAAAGAGTAAGGGTAGAGGGTTTACATCAAGAGTCACCAAACACGCGCCCATGGGCCAAATGTGGCCCACTATCTGTTTTGTAAATAAAATTTTACTGTAACACAGACACATCTATTTGTTTCCATATTATATATAGCTGCTTTCTTAATGGAACAGCAGAGCTGAACAGTTGATAGAGACCTTATGCTTGCAAAGCCTAAAATATTTACTATTTGGCCTTTTACAGAAAACGTCTACCAACCACTGATTTAATATGTTTGAAAATTAAGCAACAGAAAGATGGTCTAGAAAAAAATAAATTTCACCAATTCCTATTTATGAGTCCACAGAAAAGTAAAAAATAAAAAGAGGAACGTAAATTAAATAGTTTTTGGTGACAGCCAAGATAGAATAAGCCTAACTCTCCTGTGATTATAAACTAAAACTTTTAGACAAAATACAAAAAGGAACTACCTAAGTACTCTGAAAATTAAGCAATAACAAGCAATTTAAGGAGGGAGGTCAAAATATGAAAAATAACCAGTGTAGTGAGTATCCTGTGTTCATTTTCCACTTTTATCTCCTGACTTTGACCCAAAGAGAGACTGGTTCATGGCACTCTACAGTGGGCATAAACAAAATTTCCAAGCAAAATTATACTTTCTTCATAGAGGACCAGGAAAAGATATACTTTTGAGCAGGTGAGCATAAGAATCCCACTTTTTCCCACTTTTTTTCCTTTTTCCCACTTTCCCCACTTTTTTTTACTCCCAGTCCTGCTCCAAGGCAGGCCCCAATCAAGAGAAGACCTCTATATCTCTAGTCAGAGGAACCAGAAAAAGAGGCCCATATGATAAGAAAAGTATGGAGGTAATCACTGTTATTTTTTTATCCTCTCCTTCACTTCACTGCAAGGTTATCCCCAAAAGTGCAGAGTTGTGTGACAGCATGAAAAGCTAAGACTCTGAGAGAAACTCACATTTCTGGTCAGAAGAACAATAAAGGGCCCATGGTAACTGGACAATCCGAAGAAGAAATCATAGGGAGGTTAGAATGGGAGGAGATCCCCTAATTCTATATATGAAGAGACAGAAGTCCTAGTCCCAACAAAAAACTACAGCAACAAACTGTGGAATAGAACCAAAGAAACCTAATAATGGCTTTGAAAACTGAACCGCAATATCAAGCACTATTCAAATCTCAGACTAATCACTGAATTAGCACATGCACTGAGTGGCACATGTAGGGTGGTAACACAAACAGTTTGAAAACATAATTAACATGGGAACTATCATCCAGAGAGGGTGAGATAGAACTTGAAAGTCTCAACCAAACCTGGTAGACTGTCTGCTGAAAAAAGAAAAAAAATCAAAATTAACAGGCATCAATTCCAGGATAACTCCAATACTGAAGTATCTAACAAGGACTTTAGCAAAATATAAACATGCTCTTTTGGGTAAAAACACACACACTTAAATGGAATGATAAAAAGTTATGAGCTGAGAAGTAGAACCTATAAAAAGAACAAATGTAAATAATTGTAGGACTAAAAATAATAATATATGAAATTTTAAAAATACTGAATGGGCTCAATAAAAGAATGGAGATGGCAGAAGTAATAGTAAACTTGAAGACAAATCCATAGAAATTAACTAACATTAAGAATAGAGTGGAAAACTATCCAAAGCAAATGAACAGAGCCTCAGAGACACGTAGAACAATATTAAAAGATCTAAAATTAATATCATTAATATCCCAGAAAAAGAAAAAGGGGGTACAGAAAAAAAAATTCCAATTTTATTCATGTAAAATGTTGAAAAGAGGAAAACTCTATAGAAAAAGAAAATTAAATAGTGGTTGCTTAAGGCTGGGGGATGGGTAGATGTGGGTGACAACGAAAAGGTAAAAAAATTAATTTTGATGTGATAAAAAAAGTTTTAAAATTGACTGTGATGTTGATTGTACATATCTGACAATATACTAAAACCAACTTGGTTGTACATTTTAAATGGGTGAATTGTATGGTTATGTAAATTATGTTTCAATAAAGCTGTTTTTAAAAAATGGATGAGTTTCCCCAAATTTGGTGAAATATATAAATTTACAGTTTAAAGAAGATCAATGAACACTGAGAAGAATATAATTAAAGAAAGCCACCCCAGGACATATCTTAATAAACTAAACCAAAAGGAAAAAGAAGAAAAATCTTGAAATCAGTGAGAGAAAAACATATTACATAAATATCAAATTAAATAACTACAGATTTGTCATGAGAAGTAATGGAGGTCAGAAAACAGTGGCAGAATATTTACCTGAGATAAATGTAAATTTATATTAACACAAAAAACTATACATGAATGTGTATAGCAGCTTTGTTCATAAATATCAAAAACTGGAAACATTCTAGATGTCCTTCAACTGGTAAGTAGAGAAATCGAAAACCATTCATCAGTAAAAAGGAAAGGACTATTGATACTTGTAACAAAATGGATAAATCTTATATGCATTTTGCTAACTGAAGGAATTTAGTCCCAAAAGGCTAAATATTATAAGAAAATAAATACATGACACTCTGAAAAATTCAAAACTATAGGGAAAGATTTCATATCATTGGTTTTTAGAGGAAGGGGGTAGAAGAAGGGGAATACTATTCAGCAAGGAAAATAAATGATCTATTGATACATTCAACAACATAGATGAATCTCAAATATATTACTGTAAATGAAAAAAAAAAAAAAAAAACAGTCGGAAAAGACAACATATTCTACGATTCCACTTATATGTCATTTTGGAAAAGGTAAAACTATAAAGTATGGAGAAGAGATTAGCAGTTGCCAGAGGTTAGGCTTAGGGGTAGGTGTGCAGGAATGGGAAGGAGGGGGGGCAGTGATGGGACTATTCTGTACCTTGATTGTGGTGGTGGTTACACAACTCTAGGCATTTGTCTAACGTCAGAGCCAAACATGAAAAAGAGTGAATTTCACTATATGTAAGTTTCAAAATAAACGTTTTAAGAAGTAAATTACCCAGCATTATTTATTTGACTAGCATCTTTCTTCTAAAAAACTGAATGAGGACTAAATAAAGTCACCAATGTCTATTTTGCTAATAGATCCATCAGTCCTTATCCTACTTGATCTTGCTGCGTCATGCCACAACTGACGATTCTCTCCAATTTGAGTCTTTGGTTTCTGTGATAACATACTTTCATTTTCTTTTACTTCAATTTCTTTGCTCCTTTTCAATAACCTTGAAACATTTTAGATGCTCAGGAAATGGCCTTTGGTCTCCTTTTCATCTTGTTCCACATCCTTTTTCCAGACAGCTAATTCACTGGCACGACTCACATTTACTGAAACTACTCTTCTGAGCTCTTGATCCATATATCCAACTGCCTGTTTGACATTTTCACTTGCTTATCTCATATGTTTCTCAAAAAATAACCAATACAAAGAGGAATTAGTAACCCCCTCAAACACACACACACACATACATGCTTCCCTCCAGGGTTCCCAATTCCAATACATAGCACCATCTACCATCTTACCTCAAAGCACAGATAGACTGGGGGATAAAAACAAACAAACAAACAAAAACAAAAAAAACAAAAAACAACAACCTGTGATGGATTTATCATTAACATATAGGAAAAGGCACATTCAACAAAACAGTCCACAAACTAATATTAACATAGAATTCCGATAATTGAAATTTCACTACAAAATGACTCTCAAGATGACCCACAGAAAAAGGTAATACTATTTTCCTCTGTTACCTTAGCTGTTGGTTACTTCCCATTAATACCATCTTATGACTAATTTATCATAAGCTGTGGGCGTGAAGGAACTAGAAATAAAATGAGTCTAAATGAGCTGAAGAGATCACTGTATCCTAAAAATCATTTCAATCTACAGAAATAGCCTTTAAAAACAGAAACTCTATTACCCCTACCTCAACCAGCTTCAACAAGGTACCATGTTATCACTATAAGAATATTCATTCTTATAGAGGACCTCAGTATTCATTGATATTTACTAAAACATAAGTCATTTTCACCTATACAAAAGCAAAAATATTTTCAGAATTCCATGGGCCATTAAACATTTATTTCAAAAATAACACTTGTAATTTAAGTACACAAGCAGGCATGCTGTTTCCCCTAATTAAGAGCCAAATAGGGAAAAAATGATTTCTTACAGAAGACTCTGGAAAACTTATGAACAG